AAAACACACAATGACACAGGAGTATGTAAAGCATTATCTATTTTTATTTATTATGTATGATGTACAAAAGTTAAAAAAAGTACCGTATAATGTAACGGTGTAACCCTTGAGAACTTTAGAAACATGAGAATAATCACACAATGACAAAGGACTGCGAAACGCTTCACTGTATTTATTTATTAAGTATTATATAGAACCTGTCTCTTATACACATCTAGATGTGTATAAGAGACAGAAGTTATCATTACCATCGAACACTCTAGCCGTGGTCACACTCCCAATAGGACATGTTGAGAATGAAGTCGAGCTAATGGAATATAAGAAAAACTACAAAGTTTAATTCACAAGTTATATACTTATAAATTTCAAAATTTTATATTAAATCAAAGATCTTTGATTAAATTCACACTAGAAAAAAGTGGCACATCCCATCCCATCGTTTGTGGAACAACATGTGTGATAGGTAAATTCATGACTTGAAACCAATGAATAAATACGTACTTGCGTCGTTTTGAACTAAATAGAGCAGCTTAGCTCAGTCGGCTAATCTGGTGGTAGCCACTGTGTGTGCGCTGTACCGTGGAAATCACTAGGTCCCCGGTTTAATTCCCATCGCTGCCTCTCCTTGTGTTTCAGCTAGAGGGCTGAAATACAAGTTACAACAGCGTACGTCTTTCGGATGACACGTTTAAGCCGTTGGTCCCATGTGCATTTATGGCCCATGTGCACGTTAAAAAACGCAGTACACTCTTCGGAAAAGAATAGGGGATTGTCTCCCGGTGTACTGCCCAATCATCACCAGAAGGACCTCACTGACTTTCGTGGGCTATCCTTTGTGTTTACATCTAATAAATCCAATCTAATCATTAGGCACTGACGGGTGCTGGTGCTAAGGATGATTACCGGTTGTGGGGGGGGGGGGAGAGCTTTTTAGGGTGTAGAAGTTGGTCGTACATGAGAGAAAGACAATAGGCCTATGCTCCATCCTCACTGTTCATGGTGTTAAGGCTTCTCTAATTTGTCGTTTTTGCAAGCTTAATTCTTTCTGTTATTCTAGTATGGAGTATGGTTGTCTCTGATGTGGTCAGTTATGGCTGGTTTGTGCATGACCTCTGGTTCGGATTTTCTGGATGATCGCATTGGCTTGGCCGTCTTTTTATGCTCATCCAGTCTAGTATTGCAGTTATTAACCGTCTCGCATCGTGCGGGACGGTCCCGCATTTCATAGTGATTTTGGATGAAACACGCATTTTGCAGAAACACATGCGTGATCATAAATTTGTCACGCATTTAGCATAAGTCTATGCGCGATAACGAATTATCAGGAATTCAGTCAAAAATGTATTTAAAAATAGAAGAAATTGGTTTTATTAAAAATATAAAAACGGTCATGCAGCAGCTTGAGTCATTAGAGAGTTTTAGTTTTTGTGAATTTAGTCGTGTGTGATCTTGCGCGTTCATTGTCACAAGCAACTGTTGATTATGTGACTGGAACCCGGGCCCCAACCGGGGTTCCGCCCCTGGACCACGGGAACCCTGGCGGCCTCCCCGCCCCCTCCCATTCAGTCACGCATTTCAAATCTCTCAGGTTGGTAACAGTATTGAATGCTCTGCCAGTTTCACTCACGTAAGTGGATACGCAATTTAAGCATCCTATTTCATATACAACGCCACATGAGTTGCTGTCGTTTTATCTTTAGGGTGGCGTCAGTGTTCTTTTATTTTGTTGATGGGAGTGATGAAAGCATCAACGTTGTGTGTGTGTAATGTCCTCTATCTTTTCTGACAGCCCAGTTTCTGTAAAGGAAACAAGCTTGTTCTACCGCCACTACTACTGGTCCTCAACTCCCCCACCCCCTCCCGGTAACCATCCTGATGGGAGAGCTGATAGAAAACAAAACAAAACAAGTAGCACCAGCACCCATCATGCCTGATGATACTGGTAGTAGATCGAAACGTCGCAAGTAGGTATTTATTCATTGATTTCAAATCATGAATTTACCTATTATCACTATAAGGAAACCTAATGAAATTATTCGAAAACATGTGGGTTTGTAGGACACGCGCATCGCGTATTCATGGCCTTGTTCTGATTAGTCTATTGTTAAGCTTGATTGAGACATTGGAAAGATCTATTG